CCTGTTTTGTCTTTTCAAAGAAACAGGTTTTGTTCTGTTCGTTATTTCTATCTTTTGCTTATTTCTGCCCTTCTTTTAAAATTTTAATTCCAGTATAGATTACATATGGTGTACATTTCAGGTGTACAATATAGTGATTCAGCAGTTCTATACCTTACTCAGGGCTCCTTATCTTAAGTGTACTCTTAATCCCCTTCATCTATTTCACCCATCCCCCACCAACCTCCCCTCTGGAAACCATCTGTTTGTTCTCTATGGTGAAGAGTCTGTTTCTTAGTTTGTCCCTTTTTTTTTTTTTTGTTAGTTTCATAAATTCCACATAAGAATGAAATCATAGGGTATTTGTCTTTCTCTGATCTATTTCACTTACCAATTACACCCTTTAGATCCATTCATGTTGTTGCAAATGGCAAGATGTAAGTCTTTTTTTTTTTGGCTGAGTAATATTCCTATGTGTGTGTATGTATGTATCTCACCTTTTCTTTATCCATTTATCTATCAGTGGACATTTGGGCTGCGGCCCTATCCTGGCTATTGTAAATAATGCTTTAGTAGGGTGTATACATACATAGGGGCATTTGTATTTTTTCAAATTACTGTTTTTGTATTCTTTGAGTAAATACCCAGTAGAGGAATTACTGAATTGTATGGCAATACTATTTTTAATTTCTTGAGGAGCCTCCCTACTGTTTCCCACAGTGTCTGTCCTTATCTTTATAATATCCTTGTTTTCTTCTTTGGGGTTACTCTTTCTCCTTTGTCTTTATTGATATTAATTCTTAGCACCTTTGTTTTCAATCTATATTATTTGTATTTTCTGATTAATTTATTAAATCAAGTTTCTTTTTAACTGTTATACATATGTATCCTGAATTTTATTTTATTTTGGCTTTTTAAGTTTTTCTTTTAATCCTAGTTAACATACAGTGTTATATTAATTTCAGGTGTACAATAGAGTGATTCAACAACTATACAACATGTCATAAATTTTAAATTATAAATGTTTCAAATTGTTTTATGATTTCCTTTTAAACTTAAAGCTTAATTACTTTTGTTTCCATTTTTCAGTTTATTCCACTGAGGAATTTCAAGAAACTGTTCTTCTGACATAGATTTGTAATTTATTGCACTGTGGTCAGAGAATCTAATCCCTAATGTTGATTTGGCTGCATTTTGTTTTGTCGAATGGTTACTTTCTGTGAATGTGCCATGTAGGCTCAAAAACAATCCAAACTCTCTGTTTGTGGGTCACAAGGTTAAATGTGCATATATGTATGTATAAATATTGGTTTGAGACTATTAATTGTGACTCAGATCTTCCATATCTTTGCTTACTTTTTAATTTGATCTGTCAGTGTCTGAGAGGAATGTATTAGAAGTTATCATGTATAATTGTTGGATTTTCTTTTTCTCATTCTATTAGTTGTTTCTCCATAGACAGATAGATAGGTATAGGTATAATTATTAGGTACATATTTGTTTGTATTCCTATTGATTACCCCTCTGTGTGTTTTTCTGATGTTACAGTTGCTACTTGAACTTTATTTTCATTTATATTTGCCATCCCTTCATTGCCAATCTTTCTGTCATTTTAGGTATGTGTCTTATAGTTAACATGTCACTCTAAAACATTTTTAAAAATCTGTCTTTAATTGGTATTTAGACTGTTTAAATATGTAGTTATTATTATATCATGTTTTCTTGTAACTATACTTTTAAAAAATATTTTCATTTCCCATCAAACATTGGATAAATAAGAATTTTCTTTGAGTGTGGGTTGTCCTGGGGAGCAGGTGGGAGTAGGTGGGAGTAGGTAAGCATCTCTGGGACAGGAAAAAGGAAACCCCTCAGACAGCAAACCCAAATGTGCCTTCCTTAATGTCACCCCCATAAAAGTGAAAATTAAATGGAATTCTGCATTTTCCATGTGAGGACAACTGTTTGAGAACTAAACTGGTCGAGTGCATACCCCCGTTGCAGCAGCAATGTGCTTGATAGCTAAAAAGGCCAACAAAGGAGAGGTTGTAATGACTGATGGTTGGGTTCTCCCCTGGTCCATTTCATTCGAATTCTTTTCTAGAAAGGCAGGGAGCTGTGTCTTGCACATCTTGGTATTCCTCCCCTGCATCAGTCATACTCATTTATACTAGACACCAAATAAATGTTTGTTAAATGAGGTTTTTAAATTATCTGAGGCCCCTAAGATCAGGAAGTGGAGGGTTGAGATTTTGTGGATGAGGGCAAAAAAAAAGGAAAAAGAAAAAAAAAATCCATGGAAAGATAATTACTTAAAAAAAAATTCTTCTACACATTTGAAAATAATATGTTCTGACTTTATCCTATTGGTGGTGATCGCCCCTACCTTATTCACAGCCCTAGATTTATCAGTATCCCTTTCTTCCCACTTAACTCAATCTTATCTCCATCCTACTTCCTCCTTCCTTACCCCATCTACCACCATACTGGTGTCTACATTTGAACTTTAGGATTGCCTGAAGTATTTTTTCCCCATGGTACTGGGTTTTGCATGCAAGAATGAAATGAGCTATACTATTACATATCTTTATTTGCACATATCATATAATATTGTCTTGCATTTACTGCATCTCACTGTCTCATTTTCAGAGAAGGTATTAATGTAAAAACTTTTGAGAATTTGTGTAGTTGGAAGTATTTTTATTTTTCACATATTTAAATAATAGCTTAGCTGGATATAAAAATATTAAAAATAGAGATTCAAAGTTCTTCCTTTGGCACTTTGAAAATATAATTTGTTGCCTTCTCAAATCCAATGTTGATGCTTTGAGGGAGAAGATTGTATTAATTCATTTCTGTTTCCTTGGAAATACATTCTTTCTCACTGGAAACTTCTAGCGTTTTCTCTTTGGCTTTGATGTTCTTAAGTTTCAAACCCAAAAATGTGACTAGGTGTGTTTTTTCCTTATACATCATCTTTGGAACACCGTAACCACTTTCATTCCATGTTCTTTAATTTTTCTTCAATAATGAGAAATTCTCAGCCATTATTTCTTCAAAGCCCCCCTTCTTTTTTCTTCTCTTTCAGGGATTCCTATTTTGTACAGGTTGACAGGTCCAGCCTCTCCATTGCCTTGCTTTTTCTCTTTCATGTTTCTTATTTCCATGTTTTGTTTGGTTTATTTGCATTTTCCACTTCTCTATCCTTTGCCTTGTCTTCAGAGAACTTTGTTTGATCTTTCAAGTCTCTGTTTTGTTTTTCAGCCACACATAAGCTACTAGTGATCTGTTCAAGCACAGGATAGAGGTTAAGACTGATGGTCTGCATGAGTTTCTTCAGTTTCCTTGTCTATAGAATGGTGATAATAGTACCAGTCCTGTAGAGTTGTTTTGGAGGACTACGTGATAAAATCCACATAAAGTGTGTAGAACGATGCCAAGTATGTGGTGAGGGCAGCTTTTTTCTTTTTTTAACGTTTATGTTTTTCATACCCAGTATTTCTAATTTGTTATTCTTTGTGGCTGCTTGTCCTTGATTCCCATTATGAATAAAAAATGTTTAAGGGTTATCTATTATGCCTGTTGCTATGTGGTGTCCTTATTATTTCCTATCCATTAATTCTGGCTCATCTCTTTGAGGTGATTTGGTTTGTTACATCTAATGGCTACATTCTCCAGATGTCTAGCTGTGTTCTGTGAATACGTATTTCCCTGGGAGGGTTTCAGCTTCCTCGAATGTTAGTGTTTAGAGGTTGGGGGAGTGGAGGTTGGACAGGGGAGGGCAGAAGCATGTTCATTTTAGCTAGGGTTTAGCGAATTCAGATCAGAGGAGAACCCAGGGCCAAGAACCTCTCCTTTACTATCTGTCCTTGACCACAGCCCTTTTCCCACCCAACCAGGCAACGCTGCACCTTGGAGAAACTTAACAGTGGTCCTGTGACATTCCCTGGATTGATACTGGGGGTTTCTCTCCTTGTGCTGGCCAGAAAAGCCCTCATTACAGTTGCACAAGACAAAAGCCCTTCCCCAAACTGGCAGTAGACCCAGACTCCCTCATGCTCCCTGTGGAAGTCTCTACCTCTACGTCTAGACCCTCCTCCTTCTCTCTTCAGAGAGTTCTCACAGATTTTGTGTCGAGTCTCAGATCTGTCACCCTCTCCCTCTCAGGTTCACAGTATCTGGGTTTAGAGAGGGATCCCACTCGTATTGTCGGTTCTCCAATTTTTCATGACTAGAAGTTTATAGTACTTTATAACTGTATATTAATGTTATCATCTATCAGGTTGGTTTTTGAAACTGAAAGCAATTTCATATTTTTAGGATGCTACCTATACCTCACATGTGTTTGTGAGTCCAGTTTGGCTTTGTCTCAGAAGATTAAGTTAACAAAGACTTTTTTTTTAAGGATTTATTTATTTGAGACAGATATAGTGAGCATGAGCAGGGGGAGAGGGAGAGGAAGAAGCAGACTCCCCACTGAGCAAGGAGCCTGATGTGGGGCTTGATCCAAGGACACTGGGATTATGACCTGGGCCAAAGGCAGACGCTTAACCATTTGAGCCACCCAGGCGCCCCTAATGAAGACTTTCAGTACAAGAAGAATTTTGTTTGTAAGGCAACCCACATTATTATGCTTTAGATAAACATTATAGTAAGGCTCTTCTGTAGTATAAAGTATTCATACTGTGTCAACAAATTATCTCCCCATTAATAAATTCAGATTCCCTTGGTATTTTTCTACTTGTATTGTGTGATGAGATTTATCTTACTAAATTATCAGTCCTGTTAAAGCCAAATTGTATTTCACAGAGACATTTTGTGAAGATTTCAGTATATGCTGTATAATAGAATATCTTAACATTATAATTAGGAATTGTAGACTATATACAGAAATGTATCATGTAAAGCAGTTTGCATTTATCATAAAGATGAGAGGAGTGAGAACTTCTGGAAGAAAGCCTTTAAAATTTCATCTTTTGTACTTATCCTTGTTCTGATGTTTTCTATTTCTGTATTTATTGAAGATGCACAGTAATCAAAAAGGCTTACTTCCAGAGCCAAATCCTGTACAAATTATGAAAAGTTTAAACAATCCTGCCATGTTACAAGTTCTTCTACAGCCCCAGCTCTGTGGGCGAGCTGTTAAACCAGGTAAGCACACGGGTACAGATTAAATATAGAATGTTGGCATGAAGTCAGTTCGTGCTGTTTTGCGTGAAAAACACATTTAAATGAGTCCAAAAATATTTTTCTAGGATTTGTCAGTGAATTTTAATTAATGATCTGAGCTGATATGTTTTCCCTATTTTTGGTAGATACAGTCTGCTTATGTGTTTCCTAATTTCTTTTTAGTAAATGTTAAATATTAAAACCAGCTTAGCTCCTAGTTGACAGGAATGTAGAGACCAGATAATTCACACATTTTTGTTGTTATGGATTCTACCAATAAAGGATATGATACTTTTGCACGTAATATTTTTAGCAGAGTTACTTTGTTCAAATGTCTTAAAGGTATGTTTCCTCTTTCCTCGTAACGCTTCTGTTGGAAAATTGTTGTACTCTGTAGAAAATGACAAATATTATGGAAATCTTATCATATTGGTATATGCTAAATACCTGCCTATTTAGTATTCTGGTAAGAGCCCAGCTTTTGAAATGCACAACTCTATATACAGAAAATGTATATTTTAGCATTAGGAAGAAGTGGATTTTTATATTCAGTACTAAAGTTTAGAATAAAAAATGTTTCAGTATACTTATTGTTTCAACCCCAGCTGGTCTAACACGGATGGGTGGACTGCAGTTTGGTTCTAGCACTAACTACCCAGGGTGCAGAGACCCAATAAGTTAAGGACTTAGGCCCCCACAGGTCTGCTCCTGATTCACACACCAGCTACAAGCTCAAGGGGTCCCCAGACCACCTGTATTTCTGACCAGCTGGCCACAGATTTGGGGGCTCAGCTTTGATGATTTGCTAGCACAACTCGTAGAACTTAGGAGAACACGATACTGATGATTACAGTTTTACTGTAAGGAACACAACTCAGAAATGGCCAAGTGAAGATACTCTTACAGCTAGGTCTAGGAGGGCCCTGAATGCAGAGATTTTACACTCTTTTCCCACGGAATCAGAGCACATTACTCTCCCAGCCCATCTGTGTATTCACCAACCAGGGATCTCCACAGAATTAAATTTGGCATTGTTGGAGTTGCATTATGTAGCCCTGGTTGGCTGTTACGGAACTGAACCTCCAGTTTCCCTCCTCTTCCTGGAGGTCAGGAGGGCCAGCTGATACCACGGGAGCCAATGCCCCAGCCCTCTAATCACATGGTTGGTATTTCTGGCATTGACCAGCCCCTGTAAGGGTCCACCTCCAGTGACCTCATTAGCATAACAAAAACATACTCATTACTCAGAAAATTCAAAAGATTTAGAATTTTCTTTCCGGGAACCAGAGACAAAGACCAGTTAAATTTTTTTATTATACAACAATATTCGTAGTATGTATATCCTATAATCATCAATTATTTGTGTCTAAGAAGGAGCATTAAAGGTTTTCTGGCTCAGCCTATTACATACTCAGATATCTTTTCTACAGTTTTAATGGTAGATATGTTTTTATGTCTTAACCTCTCAAAGCACAAGAAGCTCATTATTTCCCAAGGCAATCTATTCCCTAGTTGGACGAATTTAATAACTAGGTTTATTTTTTATATTAGATGGTAAACCCTATAATTTTAGTGACTTATTCTGTGCTTCTTCCTCTGAAGAACCAGAGGAATTGCTTCTTCTATAAGAAAAGACTTCTAATAATACCTGAAGACCACTATCATGAAAACTTAGTCATTTTTTTGGTTTCCCAGTCTTCTATTCTCCAGGTCAGTGGTCTTTTTGAAATCTATTTTTTGACTATGCTGTGCTATCAGTAAAGTTTTTTTTAAAGATTTTATTTATTTATTTGACAGACAGAGATCACAAGTAGGCAGAGTCGCAGGCAGAGAGAGAGGGTGCGGCAGGCTCCCTGCTGAGCAGAGTCCGATGTGGGGCTCTATCCCAGGACCCTGGGATCATGACCTGAGCCGAAGGCAGAGGCTCAGCAGGGACCTGAGCCACCCAGGCACCCCACTATCAGTAAATTTTGAGCAAAGTTCCAGTGTATACACTATATTTATCAGTTATATGTCATTTACATAAATGGACCTTGTTAACCCATACATTAAGAAATGATAAAGCTAATGTCTTTATTTAAAGATGAAAGTAAATATGAACAAGAGTTTTAGCATTTTTTTCCTATACCTCATAGACTTCTTTGGAGATTACAGTTCTATATCTGACTTTCCATAACATGTCCTAAGAAATGCTCTCTAGTTTCCCCAACTAGTTGTCATCTTGTAGATATTAGCCTCAGTTTTCTGGGTTGTCCAGCAATATGGTGTACACAGACATAAACATATCCTGGGAATGGGTTTTGATCAGCACAGAATGGGGTGAGATTTCCTTCTTATGATCATTATATTTCTGTTAATGCAGTCCAAGTTTGTATTAGTGTTTGAAGGAAATACTGCATGCTCTTGGGTCTTTTGGCAAGTACTGGCCACACCTTTGGACTCTCGGCTCTCTTCAGTAATTCCTCTCCAGTATTGTATTTTTGTCTTTTTTTAATGGGTAAGAATATATATTCTCTACTCTGCCTTTCTACTCAGATTGATATGCGGCCATAGAGATCATACCCATTTTAGTGCAAGTTTCACAGTTGTTTTTTTAAAGATTTTACTATTAGAGAGAGGGAAAAAGAGAGGATGAGTGGGGTGAGGGGCAGAGGGAGAAGCAGACTCCCCACTGATCAGGGAGCCTGTTGTAGGGCTTGATCCCAGACTCTGGGATCATGACCAGAACCAAAGGCAGATGCTTAACTGACTGAGCCCCCCAGACCCCCCTAGTTTCACAATTTTAAATAAGGCTTTCCACTCATACACTAATGGAGAAGTTATTTCACCACGTATGGCTTTTTGTTTGGTGTGGCAAGGGAGGAGGGCGAAATCTACCTCTGGAACACACGTAGAGCTTCTGGAGGATGTTTGGAGAGTTTCTTGGCGTTCCGGAAAAACAGAGTTTCTTGTTCATCAGTAAGCTCCATCTGTATTTCCTTCACTATGTCCTTTCTCTCTTTTAAAGATTTTTTTTTTTCATTCATTTGACAGAGATCACAAGTAGGCAGAGCAGCAGGCAGAGAAAGAGAGGGAAGCAGGCTCCCCGCTGAGCAGAGAGCCTGATGTGGGACTCGATCCCAGGACCCTGAGATCATGAACTGAGCTCAAGAACGAGGCTTAACCCACTGAGCCCCTATGTCCTTTCTATGTTAGCGCTATCCGCTAACCCTTACACTACTTTGACCTCTTCACAGAGGGCTCTGAGCAACCTAAGTATTGTAATTCCTTCTGCTTATATTAAATGTAGTACATATAATATGTTTATATTTATAACCTTGTTTTTTTCACATAACACACATAACACATATATTTACTTATTTATAATTTGTCTCTCCTACTAGAATGTGAGTTCCATAATTGCAAGGATTTATGTCTTGTTCATCTCATGCACCTAAAGCAGCACTGTTATTTATAATGACAGAGATATAGTATTTGTTTACAGATTAATCCCCTTCCTCTACATCTCTGTCCCACAACTCACACATACCTGGTTACTCACATGTGGTCTGGTTTGTTAATTCTTAAGGACACTTGTCTGCCTTTTCAGTCTAATCTGTACCCTTCCATCAGGTTGACTTTGCCCCCCAGACCTGGTTTGGTTATGTTATTCTGACTATACTGATCTTTTCTCTTCAGTCCAGACCTTTTAACCACCTTCAAAAATACAATACAGTGTACAGTGTAAATATTCTAGACTTCTTTCTTTGTATATATGTGTGTGTATCCATTTTAAGTAGTGTGCAATTTGTTGTAGTCTAAATTATATTTTTAACAGCTTTATTGAGGCATAATTGCATATTAATTGGTACATATTTAGAATATTAAAAAATGGTATGCTTTTGACATGTGTAAAATCATAAGTATACATAAATTTTGACATATGTGTATACCCATATGTATATCCACCAAAATCAAAATAATGAACATATTTGTTACTCTTAAAAATTTCCTTCTGGCCTTTTGTAATCTCGCTCTCCCCCATTCCCAGGAAACTACTGATTTGATTCCTGTCACTATAGCTTGTATTTTCTAGAAATTTCTATAAATGAAATCACACAGTATGTACCATTTGGCTTCTTTTTACTCAGCTTACTGAGATTCATTTACATTGCTGCATGTATCATTAATTTTTATTCTTTTTGAATGAGGAGTATTAGTCCATTCTACAGTTTGCATATTCATTGACTTGCTGATGAACATTTAGGTTATTTCTAGTTTGGGATTATTACAAATAAAATTTCTGTGAACATTCTGTACTAGACTTTATGTAAGCTTATATTTTTATTTCTTGCCAGTAAATTAGTTGTGGAACGGTTGGGGCATATGGTTGATGTATGTTTAAGTTATAGGAAACTTTGCCAACTGTTTTCCAGTGTAGTTAAACTGCTTGGCGTTCTCACCCATCACTGTCTAGGGCTCCAGTGTGCTCAGTCTTCTCACCAACACTTGACATGCTAGTGCTTTAATGTTAGTCTTTCTGTTGGGTATATACTGCTATCTCACTGTGATTTTGAGTATTCCTTTTGGCGGATGATTTTGAACATCTTTTAATATGCTAATTAGCCATCTTTATATCTTTCTGTTATATCTTTTAAAATATTTTACACATTTTAAAAATTGAGTTAAATTTTTCTTATTCAGTTGTAAATGCTCTTTATTCTAGATGCAAATCTGCTGTTGTATATATGGGTTTGCAAATATTTTTTCACTCCCTAAGATGTCCTTTATTAACAATGTCTTTGGAAGAACAAAACATTATTTTGGCGAAGCCCAGTTTATTATATTTCTGTTACAATTTGTACATCTTTTGTCAGATTTAAGGAATCTTTGACAAATTTAAGGTCATTAAGATACTCTCTCATATTTGAGAATTTCATAATTTTACCTTTTAAAAATTATTTTTAATTTTACCTTTTGTATTTAGATCTTTGGTTCAATTTGAGTTAATTTTTGTTTATGATGTGAAGTAAAGTTCTAAATTAGTTTTTTTTTACAGATGTTCCAGCATCATTTGTTAAAAAAGATTACTCTTTTCCCACTGAACTTCCACTTAGGTTCATTATATATGCATGGCTGTATCTATGGACTCTCCATTCTATTCCATTGATCTAAATGTCCCAATACTGCATTGTCTTGATAAATGTAGCTTTATAAGAAGCCCTAGAATCTGTTAGTGTAAGTCCTCCAACTTTCTTCTTCTTTTTTCAATTTGTTTTGCCTATTCTATGTCCTTTGTATTTGTATATAAATTTTAGAACCAGCCTGTCAATTTCTATGAAAAATGTCAGTAATTTGGTTGGGATTGTGTTGAATCTATATACTAATTTGGACAGAATTGACAGTTTTGAGGTTGAGCCATGCATATGGTATATTTCTCTATTTATTTAGGCCTCCTGTAATTTGTTCCAGCAATAGCTTGTAGTTTTCAGGGTACAAATATTACACATATTTTGTCAGATTTATCCATCGTATTCTACATTTCTTGATATGATTTTAAATAGTTTTGCTTTTTTTTTTTTTTTAAAGATTATTTATTCGACAGAGATCACAAGTAGGCAAAGAGGCAGGCAGAGAGAGGGGGGAAGCAGGCCCCCCACTGAGCAGAGAGCCCCATGTGGGGCTCAATCCCAGGACCCTGCGATCATGACCTGAGCCAAAGGCAGAGGCTTTAACCCACTGAGCCAACCAGGTGCCCCAATAGTTTTGCTTTTTAAATCTCAATTTTGAGTTTCATGTTGCTAGCATATACAAGTACAATTGATTTTGTGTATATCCTATCTTGCAAACCTAGCTTATTATTTCTTATAGGCTTTTGTTCTTAGGATTTTCTGTGTAGACAGTCATATAATCCACAAATAAACACAATTTTATTTCTTCCTTTCCAATATGTATGCCTTTTACTTCTTTTTATTAATTATTATTATTTTTAAAGATTTTATTTATTTATCAGAGAGAGAAGGATCATGAGAAGGGGGAGAGTCAGAGGGAGAAGCAGACTCCCTGCCGAGCAGGGGAGCCCTAGGCGGAACTCAATCCCAGGACTCCAGGATCATGACCTGAGCCAAAGGCAGTCACTTAACCAACTGAGCCACCCAGGCACCCTGCCTTTAACTTCTTATTCTTGTCTTATTGCAATAGACAGAAATTCCAGCATAATTTGTGCATTGAACTGGTGAGAGTGGACATCTCTGCTTTGTTTCCGACCTTAGAGAGCATTCATTCTTTTATTATGTCAGCTATAGTTTTTTTCACAGATTTTCTTTTTCTAGCTGGGAACTTTGCCTTTTGTTTCTATATTGCAGAGAAATTTTGTCATGATAATTGCTGGAATGTATACAGTGATTTTCTCCATTAACTGAGATGATCATATATATTTTTTGTTTGGTCTGCTAGCATGATGAATTACATTGATTTTTCAATGTTAAACCAAACTTTTATTCGTAGGATATATTATTATATATCATAGTCCTTTGCATATATTGTTGATTGATAGCATTGTTCAAGCCTTCTTGAGAAGGGGAGGTTGGGGCACCATGGGAGATTGATTAGCCAAGAGCTAAGGATAAGGGCAGTGAGATGTGAGACTGTAGACATTTTCAAAGTGTTTTGATTTCAGTGGTGGTGGTTTTAAACTGGGAAATACTGTATTCATTAAAAACTGAAAAATGTAACAAAATACAGTGACTAACTGAAAAAAGAGAGGAGGTGGTGTTGAAATCTCCAACCATAACTGTGGATTTGTCTACTTCGTCAGTTCTAGAAATTTTTGCCTTACATGTTTTGAAGCTTTGTTATTTGAAGCACATTTAAGATTGTTGTATCCTCTTGATGAATTGACCCCTTTATCATTATGAAATGCCATCTTTATCCCTCTTTGTTAATAAACAGTCTGTTTTTATAAACAACTCGTGCTAATGACCTAATCTTCCTACCACCAATCATGAAATGGACTCATTCTAAAGAAAGCAATTTCTTTTTTTTTTTTTAAGATTTTATTTATTTATTTGACAGAGATCACAAGTAGGCAGAGAGGCAGGCAGAGAGAGAGAGAGAAAGCAGGCTCCCTGCTGAGCAGAGAGCCCGATGTGGAGCTCGATCTCAGGACCCTGGGATCATGACCTGAGCCGAAGTCAGAGGCTTTAACCCTCTGAGCCACCCAGGCGCCCCTAAAGAAAGCAATTTCTAATGGTCATTTTTCCAAAGATGAAATAGGCTGGTTTAGCAAGTAGTAAAACTTGAAAAAAGTACTTTTGAAAACATGGGATAAACTTGTAGAGATGGTATATATTACATATATAATATCCAAATATTTTTGATCATTGGATTAAATGCTTTTTTTTAAAGGCACTGATATTTTACCCCTCCCTCCTTTTTTCCTTAAAATAAGACAACACTATTCTTTTCTTTTTTTTTTTTTTTTTCTTTAAGTAAGCTCTAGGGGTGCCTGGGTGGCTTAGTGGGTTGGGTGTCTGCCTGCAGCTCAGGTCATGATCCCAGGGTCCTGGGATCAAGCCCTGCCTCAGACTCCCTGCTCAGCAGGGATCCTGCTTTTCCCTGTCTCTCTGCTGCTCCCCCTGCTTGCCCTCTCTCTCAAATAAATAAATAAAATCTTTAGCAACAACAACAACAAGTAAGCTCTACACCCACCATGGGGCTTGAATTCACAACCCAGAGATAAAGAGTTGCATGAGTCACGTGTTCCACCAACTGGGCCAGCCAGGGGACCTGAAATTAAATGCTTTTTGAAGTGCTTTCTATGCCTGACCATTTCCAGTTGATTTATAGTAATTAGAAGAAATTACTTCATATATTTTCTATCTCATGGCCCTTTTTGTCTATATACTATTTATTCTGAAAACATCCCCCCGCCTTTTAAAAAAAGATTTATTTGAGAGAGGGAGAGAGTGTGCATACGTGGGGAGGACCAGAGCAGGGCTGGATGTGGTTTCAGCTCACAATCTGAGCTGAAACCAAGAGTTAGATGCTTAAATGACGGAGCCATGTTCTGAAGACATCTCTTTTGATACAGACTCTGGTATTGTGCTCAGGAAAACCTGATTAAAAAAAAGTGTGGTCACCATTTATTCTTTCTATCCACTATGATGCTCATGTTTCTTTTTATTATGTAAATATTTTTTCTGTGCATATATTCTCTTCTTGAATGGATTGTAGGCTTTTCAAAGGAAAGGTCTGTATCTTGCCCTTCCTTCCCCCACTCCTCCCCCCCTGCCAGAATAATACCCAAACACCTAATAAAAATACTGAGCAAATAACATGAGTTCAGTTAGAATTATACTCACTAAAAGATGGCATTAGTTTTGTTGCTCTAAGCGCTAGAGAAAAGAAAGGCTAAGTTTGGTGTTTTATTATGATGATAGAAGGTGTTGGAATTTTAAATAAAATTCTAGGTTTGAGTCACAAGGAAGCGACCTCGCCAGTTTTTGTGCAATGACAAGGTCAGTATATCATTGAACTTTGGATGAATTTGTTAAGTTTAAAAAAAATACTATTGGCCTCTTTTGGAGTTTGTTTCTGTCTTATCATAAAGTTAAATTTTTACTTTTATTTTCTTAAAGCAGTTCTCGGAACACCTCACAGCTTGCCCCATCTGATGAACCCATCCATCTCCTCCGCGTTTTTGCATTTGAATAAAGCACATCAGGTATATAAATAGCATTGAGTACTGCAACTCGGAGTGACTCATTTGTTTGTTCCCAAAGTTTAAAATTCTCCTGAAGTTAAACAGGTATTTTGTTTTTTAAACAAATCCTTAGTAATAACTATAGCTACCTGAAAACATGCTGAGTACCTGAGATCAAATTAAGCTGGTCAAAGCAGTGTAGTTCTATCTATTGATTTTTAGGCATTGATTTCTGGGCATTGATTATAGGGGATTAAGGGAAGGAGGTGTGTTTTGTGGTATATTTTTGTAGAAATAAGTGGTTAAAAACAAGACTTCTGGGGTCTTAACTCCAAGTATTACAGAAAGAAAAAAAATTAAGTGAACATAAACTCTTCTTAAAATTTAATCTATATACAAATAATTCGTGTAAGAATAAAAAAATAAATTCTCTAACCTTTTTCAGATTCGTATTTTAGGATGCATTTTTATATACAAATGTTGTACTCATGACAGTCAGGTACTGCTGAAGGCTGTGTCTGTGTAGGAGCCTGATTACAAGTCCAGCCGAATCCCTAATGGAGGTTTGGTGGCAGTGGAGTGAATGAGCATCAAAGTCCTAAATGCAACTTTTTAAGGCACAGGTTTATCTTTTATTTAGTTTTCATTAGAATCTAACATAGATTTGAGTACGGGGGAAAAAAATAGATAAAATATGAACTTTACATATGTGAACGTTTATGTAAGAATTTGCTTATTTTCTTAAATAATAGTAACTTGGGAAAGAATACATTAAAATGCATTGTATCCATATACCTAAAAAAAAAAAAAAAGAATCTAACATAGGACCTTGTACATTGTAGGGTCTTTTTTCATCCCATTACTCCCCAGATTTTACTGGGACTCTGACCTCTACTGGACACTCTGCCGGTCACTGATGCCATAGCACAGAACAAAACCATTCCGAGTCCTTGTTCTTAGAGAAATTCAACACATACAGAAAAGAAATGTGAATTACAATAAGATGTGGAGTGTGACATGGGAGGGGAGTTCAGAGTATTGATATCGTCAATATCATCAGAGAATAAATAATTCTCTTTATTTTAGAATTAAGACTAGAATGTTTAATTTCACCCGGAAGGCCTAAGCCAGTTGGGTCACGTAGCTTTAGGTCTTCAGAGGACCTTGCTCTCTTCTCCTCAGGTCTTTGCTCCCCTGCTGTTCCTTCAGCCAGGAATGCTCCCCACCCCAACACCATCTGAGTCCCCCAGACTTCCCTGGTTACTTCCCCACAGCCTTCAGATCTCCATGGGAGAGTTAGTTCCTCAGGGACACCTTCCTTGAATTTACCACATCTAACTAAGTCCCCAACTCTTCTCCTAGCTCCCGTGTGTTTCCGCACTCTGCTCGTCACCATGTGTAATTCCATGTGTTTATAATTAATGAATGTCTCCCTTCCCCAGGAGCCTCTAAGATCCGTGAGGGCAGGTCGCATTGTGCATTTCTCACTTCGTGGCACAGTGCTGGGCACGGAGAAAGTGCTCAACAAATATTTGTTGGATGATTAAGTGAAGAAAGAAATGATGAAATGACCCTGACCTGAAAGCCAAAAAGGGGTGAGGGGAGGAGGAAGGATGAAGGCAAAAAAGGGAGAGGATGTGGAGTTAGTTTCGTGACTCCACGGTCACATCTTGTGTATTATTAAAAGAATTAGGTATCATTGCCTCAAGTGGGAAAATGGAATATTAAGATGCTTTTGCTCAGATCAGCTGGAGAGCGGCACTTTAAAGTGGACTGGGTTCTAGGACAAGTAGCTCTCCCAAGTCGAACTAACAGAATGCTTTCTCGTTTTCACAGAGCACAGTTCCGGGTAATACTTCCAGTTTATTCCTTCAGAATCTTTCTCATGTACCCCTGGCACCGCAACAGTTACTGAAGTTTGAGAATATTCCTACTAATAACGTAAGTCTGGAGTTAATTTTTTTTATTTTCGAATTCATTCCCTTTCTAGATTCAGGCCCTATTGTTGATGACTTTTCACATGTGTAGCCTTTTCATGAGAGAATACCCTCTGGCCGCGGGCAGAAGTCTCACTCTCTTTTCTTGTCTTGCAGAAACCCGGCTTACTTGGAGATCCCCCGGCCGTGGTACTTCAAACTGCAGTAGGGATAGGGTCAGCGCTTCCTTTGAAAACAGAGTTGGGTCATCATGGAGAAGCACATAAAAGTAAATGATACGCATTTACTGAGAAGTCCGTACACAGATTTGAGACTTAAGGGTGGTTTACCTATATCCTGTTTTTATTTGCAGAAAGGTCAAAGTTGAGTTTTAGTCAGTCATTTAAAATTTTAAGAGCCCTCGTGGCTTTTCTATTTTTAATATTAGAGAACTATTGATAAGTTATTGATGGACTCGCTTCCATGCCAAGATCACATTTTCCCTGTTGGATATGCTTTAATATTTGATGAAGGTTCACAGCAGCATGAGGCAAAGACCTAGATCCCTGTGAGACTGACATGCTACCCGCTGGGCTGACAACATATTACAGAGATATCCATTTAATTTTTGCCTGAATAAAAAACCCTAAGCTTTCAAGGAAATATGTGGTATTCTGATGTAAGCTTTGATGGTTTACTTGATTATAATAGTTTTTTGAATGTGATCTCCAAACTTAGAAAAAGGAAATAATGACATGTGTACTTTGGGCTTCTGAAAAAACGAATTTAAACAAAACAATTATTTTTTAGAAAAACAAGAGCATGTAGTAGGTACATTTTAACAAGATTTCTTATTTGAATGTGACTTTGAAAGGCACTTTCATTTGAAGTGTAATTGAAATTTGTTTGGCGATTATGCTGTGAAAAGCATATTATTACTTTAATATTAAATATTATTACTTTAATATTAAATATTATTTATAATATTAATAATATTTAATATTAACATTATCATTATTATTACCACCAGTAATAATAATAATAAGTCAGTTGAATACGAGTAACATATTTAACCTTGACATAAAAACAATGAGTCAAACGATTAAATGAGTCCATCAGTTCTGACTGTTGGAATTGACTGTGCGAAAACTGAACTAGGATACAGACAGGAGTAGAAATTTTTTGGTACAATGAGGCCTGTTCTAAAAGTTAAATTTTGTGTCATCAAAAGCTTATGCCCATGTTTATTATTTGTGTTGGATTAAATAATAGGCTAGTTGCCTTAGCATGCACTCCTTTAAAAACATTGAAAAAATCAGTGTCCAAATAAATACATTGCTAAAAGAACTTAAGTAACCACCTCTAAATATTAAGTACTAGAAATAATTAAAGAAATTTGCATAGTGAATTTATAAAATATAAATTTGACTTAAAGTAATTATCAAAATTAGCTCTTTTCTCTTGATTTTGAACTAGAGATTTTAAAAAGTAGAATGGGTCAGACTTTTCCTATTAAAACTTTAATTTCTTCCAGAATTTTTTGTTATTTCCTGTAAATAAAAATGTAAAACTTTCATGTGTTAAATTTGGTGCCTATCTATTCACAAACGTTGATGTTTTTTAAACCAGTGGTGTGCTGATGTTTAAAAACCAGCTCTCTAGGTTTAAAAAGAAGAGTCTTGATTTTTACAGCATCTTTGGAGTTCTTTGTGTGAACACTACAACTCATAGCCAGTTGCCCACTGAATTCAGGAGCTGGGAAAAGATACACACAGTCAGCTATTATGAACTGGTGCGAGTAAGCTGATTAAATGTATTAATAGATTTTTAAGTGTCAGAATTTTTTTTAACTGAAAATTTATTTAATTATTCCCTTCAAATATGGAAGCAGGCAATTTTCAGTGATCGAGCATAAAAAAGAAGGCACCTGATACAACTTCAAGTGCCAAAAAATACATACATTTTCTCTTAAGGTCTAAAATATACAATTAAAATTTGGAATTAAAAAATATCCTTGATATTATCCCAGAAATTGTTGAAAATAAGAAAAGCACGATTGCTGTTAGAGGTTTTTGTTTTTCCGTGTAGGAACCTGCTGCTTTACAACCACTAACTTTGTCTTCTGAATGTAACTGTTCTCTAATAGATACAGAATAGGCTTCTCCACATTTCCCCCATAAGTTAACAAAATCAGACTGTTGGGAATAACTCTTGTCTAACCAAAAGCTTCTTGCATTTGTGATTCCCTACAGCATCTAATCTGATTCCAACTCCAACAACGATAACAGCTGGAATGGGCATATTACCATTCTTTCCAAATCAGCACATTGCTGGACAAGCTGGGCCAGGACATGGGAATACTCAGGAGAAACAGCCAGCCTCGGCGGGGAAGGCAGAAGGAAATTTCTCAGGGTCACAGGCTTATCTTCAGAGCTTTCCAAACCTTACTGCTGGAGGCTTGCTGACGGGACACCATAAACCACAGCAAAGTCAGCCAAGAGGCACGGAGATAAGCTCAGGGGTGAGAAAATTATGTTTGTGCATGCCCGTGCATGCACGCGTGCGCGCGCGCGCGCACACACACACACACGTGTATACTACCTGTGTGTAGATACTATTCAGGAATATATATATATGTATGTATATTCTTTCAAAATTATATCTTAAATTCTAATTTTAGAAGATTTTAAATTGGGAGTTATTATGAAGTATCCTAAAGCCTCTTAATTTTTAAATTTCAAAGAAAGTTAATAATAGAGTATACAAATATGGATTATAAACTAGATAATTGATATGTCAAGGACATGATTTTTCCTAGTGTGTATTTACTTCTCAAAATAGAAAATACTGCACTCTAAAAAAAAAAAAAAAAAAAACCCAAAATGCTGTTATTATAAGCAAACAAAAATCCATCTTTTGATAAGTGATGCCAGCTGATGTTTGGGCTTTGCTTCATTATTTACCAGTTTGTCTGTAAATAAAGTAATTTGAGTAAAATGAGTTTAAATCTGTTATTTAAAATAATTTAAATACGGAATCTTTATCATAGATATTTGCTTTTCCAAAAAGTTCAAGATACTCAAAAATGCTTGATATTTTAGAAATGCAATATAAACTGAGTTCAAAATTTTATAGTTTGGAAAAAGCTTAAGAGTGTCATTAATACTTATCCAATTTTATATTATTTATGAGCTAAGTTAATGCTCTTCAAAATATGTTTTCTACTTTAAATGTATACTCTATAGCTAATTAAGGTAATATTGGAATATTTGAAGGCAAGACCAATTTTCTTTTATCTGAAAAATGTCAAAGTTATTTATTAAACTCTGGTCTGCACAAAAGAATCTAACCTCTGTTTTAATTCTGTAAGTTTCTACCCAGTTATTTTATTGATTCTTAGGCCAGTGACATTAGTAAATGTTATAAATAACAGGTAGAATAAAGTACATTTAATTTTTACTCACACCCTGAAATACCCTTTAGCATGTAAGTAGTATAAAACTCAGGTTATAAGCAGCATGTGAGGACAAAAAATTCATTTAGTTGGCCATTTTCAAATGTCAAAATAATAATACTGAATTTGGAGGAGTTTTTGCTGTCAATGAGTCATAGCAGCAAGTATGGGTAGAAGGTTCTGCAACTGTTCATTGAGAAAGCTAAGGGAATCCTTCTAGAATAAATTTTTAAAATTTACCTGCAGTATTAATTTCCTGGGATATTGAAAACTAAACAAATAGAACTCATATATGAATATGCTGTATCTTTTTGGACAGAGAGCACCAGATCTTCAGAAAAGCTTGATTTGAGCTGATTCACATAATGGGCAGAGTCTATCAGGAAGAAAACAGCCAAAGTGGCCCAGGGCCTGAAAAACAGGTTCTGGGGAGAGAATTGAGGGAAATGGTTACATGTAACTCAGAAAGGGAGGACCAGCTGTATATACATTAAAGAAACATACCCTCAGACTAGTCACATGGCATTTTGTGTTTCTTCAGTAGGCAGACCTAGTCCAATAAGTACAACATACAATAAAACGAATTTAGGCTTAATATAACAAAGAGCGGGTAAAGCTTTCAAACAAAGAAAAAGTTGAACATAGTTAAGCAGACCCCAGGTGAGCACTGGTACAGACTGTTGTAGAAGTGTCTTTCTGACAGTAGGGGTTTGAATCAGTTCAAGTAGGTTTTCCAAGAATGTAACAAGAGTTTTGACTTTGCTAGACATAATTGGTTTAACGTGGCTTTAGGTTTTTAGACCTGCATTTTTAAGAAATTTTTTTTATTAAGGTATAATTGACATACAGCATATTAGTTTCAGGTATAAAATAATGATTTGACATTTGCATGTATTACAAAATGGTCATCACAAAAAGTCTAGTTAACATCTGTTACCATACATTGTTATAATTTTTTTTCTTGTGAGAACTTTTAAGATCTACTCTCTTAGCAACTTTCAAATATAAAACATGGTAATATTAACTATCGTTGCCATGCTGTACATTCCATCCCCATGATCTATTTACTTCATAACTGGCAGTTTGTACCTTTTGACTTTTTTCACCCATTTCACCCACACTGCCTCTGACATCAACAATCTGTTTTTTTAATCTGAGCTGCTGTTGCTTTCTTTTTTATATTCTACATATAAGGGAGATCATATGGTGTTTGTTTTTCTCTATTTGACTCTTTTTTTTTTTAAGATTTATTATTTTATTTATTTGACAGAGATCACAAGTAGGCAGAGAGGTAGGCAGAGAGAGGGTAAGGGAAGCAGGCTCCCTGCTGAGCAGAAAGCCAGATGCAGGGCTCTGCCGTCTCAGGACCCTGGGATCATGACCTGAGTGGAATGCAGAGGTTGGCTTTAACCCACTGAGCCACCCAGGTGCCCCTCTGTTTGACTTTTTTCACTTAACATAATGCCCTCAAGGTCCATCCATGTTATCACAAATAGCAAGATTTCCTTCTTATTAAAGACTGAATATATACACACATTTTCTTTATTCATCCATCAAAGAGCACTGATGTTTTCATGTCTTGGCTATTGGGAATAGTGCTGCAGTGAACATGGGAGTGCACTATCCCTTTGAGATAGGGATTTCATTTCCTGTGAATATATACCCAGAAATGGGATTACTGAATCATATGGTAGTTCTATTTTTTATTATTTGAGGAACTTCTGTACTGTTTCCCTCAATGGCTGTATCAGTTTTCTCCCATTCAATAGATTGTCTTTTTATTTTGTTGATGGTTTCCTTTGCTGTACAGAAGTTTTTTAGTTTGATGTAGTCCCCCTTGTTTATTTTTGCTTTTGTTGTCTGTACTTTTGGTGTCATGTCCAAAAAATTATTGCCAAGACTAATGTCAAGGAAATTTTTCCTTTTATTTTCTTCTAGGGGTTTTATGGCTTCAGATCTTATCTTTAAGTCTAATCCAGTTTGAGTGAATTCTTATGTATGGTTTAAGATCCTGGTCCAATTTCATTCTTTAGTGTGTGGACATCCAGTTTTCCCAACACCGCTTATTAGAGAAACTGTCCTTTTCCATAGTAAATTCTTGACTCGCTTGTCAAAGATTCATTGACTATATGTATGTGTGTTTATTTCTGAGCTATCTCATTTGATCATGGCGTACAGTCTACGTATCATTGTATACAGTTGTGTACAGTCAATGTATTGTTGTAATTTGGATTGCTAATATTTTGTTGAGGACTTTTGCCTGATATCCCAATATCAGGGATATTGGCCTGTAGTTTTATTTTCTTGCAGAGTTCTTATCTGGCTTTGTTGGGCATTAATTTTTCTTTAAATAAATGTCTGGTAGAATTCACCAGTGTAGCCATCTGGTCCTGATATTTTCATTCTTGGGAGGTTTTTGATTACTTCTTATGTCACTATTGGTCTGATAAGATTTTCTATTTCTTTATGATTGTTCTTTGAGGTTGTAAGTTTCTGGGAATTTATCCTTTTTTTTTTTTTCTGGGTTATCCAATTTGTTGGCATGTATTTCTTGGTAATAGTCTCTTATGATCCTTCATATTTCTGTGGTATCAGTTTTAATGTCTTCTCTTGCATTTGTAACTATTCGTATCCTCTCTTGTTCTCTTGGTTAGTCTAGTTAAAGGTTTCTCTGTTTTGTTTATCAAGGAACCCTAACACTTAGTTTCATGGATTTTTCTAGTCTTTTTTTATTTCTGTTCTAATCTTTATTATTATCCCCTTTCTACTAATTGTGGGCTTAGTTTGTTTTTCTTTTTCTAGTTCCTTGATGTGTAATGTTAAGTTGTCTGAGATTTTTTTTTTTTTCTTTTTGTGTAGGCATTGCTATAAACTTCCCTCTTAGGACTGCTTTTTGCTGTATTCCATAAGTTTTGATATGCTCTATTTCCATTTTCATTAGTCTCAAGATAATTTTGACTTCTCTTTTGATTTCTTCAACCTGTCGGTTGTTCAGGAGTATGTTGTTTAATTTCTATGTATCTCTGAATTCTCCAGTTTCCCTCCTGTGATTCATTTCTAGTTTCATACCATTGTGGTCACAGGAATACTTGATATGATTTCAGTATTCTTATATTTGTTCAGACTTGTTTTGTGATCTATATTTAGATCTATATATGATCTACATTTTTTTTTCTTTCTTTCTCTCTGTCTCTCTTTTTCTCTTTCTGCTTCTGCTTTTGGTGTCAGACCCAAAAAACTATTGACAAATTCAATATCATGAAGCATTCTACCTAAGCTTTTAAGAGTTTTATAATTTTAGCTCTTGCATTTAGGTCTTTGACCTTTGAGTTAATTTTTGTATGTAGTGTAAGGTGAGAATCCAGTTTATCCTTTCACATGCGATATCCAGATTTGCCAGCATTTTTGTTGAAAATACTGTCCTTTCCCCATTGAATAATCTTGACACTTTTGACAAAAGTCATTTACGCACATATGCAGGGACTGACTTCTGGGTTTTCTATTTTATTCCATTTGTCTGTATGTCTGTCTTTATGCCAGTATTACACTGTTGAGATTACTGTAGCTTTATAGTAAGTTTGAAATCACAAAGTATGAGCCTTCCATTCTTGTATCTATTTTTCACCTTTTTCAACATTGTTTTGACTATTTGGGGTCCCTTGAAATTCCACATGTATTTTAGGGTGGATTTTTCTTTTTCTGCAGAAAAAGTTGGAATTTTGATGGGGACTATACTGAATCTCTACGTCACTCTGGTTAATACTGACATTTTAACAATATGTCTTCTAATCCATGAACATGGGATAACTTTCCTTTTATGTATGTCTTTTAATCCAGCAATGTTTTTAAAAATGTTTTTAAAGATTTAGAGAGCTGGGAAAGGGGCAGAGGGAGAGAGAGAATCTCAAGCAGAGTCTACACTGAGTACAGAGCTCCACATAGGGTTTGATCTCAGGACCCCAATATCATGACCTGAGCTGAAACCAAGAATTGGACGCTCATACAACTGAGCCACCCAGGTGCCCCCATTTTTTAAAACATTTTTAATATTTAATATAGCATATTCAAAATATTAGTTCAAAATGGATATATATACTGAACTATTAAGATATTTTACATTCTTTGGTACTATTTGAAATTTAGTATATATTTTACATTCCACATACATCTCAGTTTAAACTGTCTACTATTTCTTAGTCTCAGTAGTCATGTGTAGCTAGTCGCTACAATGGTGGACAGTGCAGTCTTAGATATTTTCGTGGCTAATCCCTCACTTTATTGAGATTCTGCTTAAATGTCACTTTCAGCCATGTTGTGCAGTTTTTAGTGAGTAAGTATTTTTCTTCTTTGGTTCAGTCACTCCTTTTTTTTTGTTCAGTTCTTAAATATTTTATCCTTTTTGATTCTGTTGTAAATGGAATTGTTTTCTTAATTTTCTTTTTGGATTGTTCATTGTTAGTGTATAGAAATGCAACTAATTTTTGTATGTTGATTTATATCCTGCAACTATGCTGAATTCATTTAGTCTAACAGTTTGTGTATGTGTAGCATTTAGGGTTTTCATGCATTTGCAAGCGGAAATCACTTTACTTCTTCCACTCTGGTTCGGATGTCTTTTATTTCTTTTTCCTACTTATTTGCTCTGACTAAAACATCCAATACTATGTTGAACAGAAGTGGTAAAAGCAGACAGCTTTGTCTTGTTCTTGATGTTAGAGGGGAAGATTTCAGTCTTTCACTATTGAGTATGATGTTGACTTCATATATAACTTCTGTTTTATTAAGGTAGCTTCCTTCTGTGCTAACTTTGCTGAGTGTGTTTCATTTTATTTTGTTTTTTAAAGACTTTATTTGTTTATTTGAATGAGAGAGAGCACACAAGCAGGGGGAGCAGCAGAGAGAGAGGGAGAAGCACGCTCCTTGCTGAGCATGGAGTGCAATGTGGGGCTCAATCCTGGGAGCCTGAGATCATGATCTGAGCTGAAGGCAGATGTTTAACTGACTGAGCCACCCAGGTTCCCTGAGTGCATTAAATTTTAATCGTGAAAGCATGTTAAATTTTGTCAAATGCTTTTTCTGCATCAGTTGAGGTGACTGTTTTTTTTTCCTCCATTCTGTTAATATAGTGTATTATGTTGAATGACTTTTGTACATTGAATCGTCCTTGCATTTTAGGAGTAAATCCCAGTTGGGTATGATAATAATAATCTATTCAGTTTGGTTTGCTAGTGTTTTGTCGATGGTTTTGGCACCAATATTTATAAGGGATATTTATCTCTGGTTCTCTTTCTTTTTTGTGGTGTGTCTCTGGCTTTGGTACTAGAACAATGCTGAAAGTATTCTCCTTCAGTTTTGTGGAAGAGTTTGAAAAGAATTGGCATTAATTCCTCTTTAAATGTTTTATTGAATAGTGATTAGAAGGGGCACATGCACCCCAATGTTTATAGCAACAATGTCCATAATAGCCAAAATATGGAAAGAGCCCAGATGTCCATCAACAGATGAATGGATAAAGAAGCAATGGTGTGTGTGTGTGTGTGTGTGTGTGTACACACGTGCATAGGCAGTAGAATGCTACTGAGCCACCAAAAAGAATGAAATCTCAACATTTGCAATGATGGGACTAGATGGTGTGATGGAACTAGATGGATGGAACTAGAGGGTGTTATGCTAAGTGAAATAAGTCAATCAGAGAAAGACAAATATATATTTTCACTCATATGTGGAATTTAAGAGACAAAGCAGATGAATATAGAGGAAGCGAAGGAAAAATAAAATAAGACAAAATCAGAGAGGAAGACAAACCATAAAAGACTCAACTCCAGGAAACAGTGTTGCTGGAGGGAAAGTGGTGGTGGGGTGGGGGGAGTGATGGGGTAAATGTGTGATGGTCATTAAGGAGGCCACTTGATGGAATGAACACTGGGCATTGTATGCAACTGATGAATCATTAAACTCTACCTTTGAAACTAATAATACACTATGTTAGTTAATTGATTTTAAATTTAAAAATAAATATTTCATTGAATTACCCAGTGAAGCCATTTGGTCCAGGGCTTTTTTTGTTGTTGTTGATACACTGTATTTTTTTTTTTTTTTAGTAAGTGATTTTCTTTCATAGCTAGAGTTGAGAACCCTGATAGGATAGAATCTGATTATCTTGGCAATTTAAGTACTTTAGAGACAAAATCTTAGAGTACCTTCCTGGCTACATTTTCTCAGTCTTTGAATTCTTTTTAGGGCACTGTCTTTCATCATGCTATACATTTTCCTTTGGCAAATATGTAATGGTGTTAGCTCCTACCTAGAATTTTATGTTTCCATCTTAGACTTCTTTTGAGCTATTATATCTACTTAACTGGGAATTTTTTCTTTTTTTTTTTTTAAAGATTGTATTTATTTATTTGACAGACAGAGATCATAAGTAGGCAGAGAGGCAGGCAGAAAGAGAGGGGAAGCAGGCTCCCTGCTGAGCAAAGAGCCCTACGAGGAACTTGATCCCAGGACCCTGGGATCATGACCTGAGCTGAAGGCAGAGGCTTTAACCCACTGAGCCACACAGGCACCCCTTAATTGTGAATTTCTTAATGGTAGTATTCTTGTCCTACTCATTTTAGTATTCTCAATGCTTACCACAGCGCCTGGAGCATGGTAAACATTCAGTAAGCATCTTTGAATAAATACATCTGTATCTGTGATTTACCTATCACAAGCAAAACTGGACTTCTTTGAGTCTTATGAAGATGTACAGGACAGATTTCTCAATCCAAATAAAATAATATTGACCAGATAAGGAAGAAATAAAAGGAGTTGTTCATTGAGTTGTTTCTCAAATATAGAAATAAGCACTTGATATTATATTTCATTCTGTTCAGGGAACAAAACAAAAATTAATTAGAAATGAAAACTTAGCTTCTAGCTTTAATTATAGTAACCTACATTGTCTTATTTAAAATTTTTTTACTTTTACAGAGAGTTGAAAAGTAAAAAATTCCATCAGTACAAAACAAAATGATCTGAAGAATCAGCCCTTTTCTTCTGTTAAAGAAATGCTAGAACCCTTACACTTAATTATATAAAATTTACTGATGTATTTTCAAGAAATGTGAATTTCTAGGGTTATCTTCTAAATGTGGATTTGGATTTTATTAAATCCACTTATTTTGTTTGGTATTACTTTTAGAACCAGAAATCAGTAAGCTTTCCTTTATCATTTGGCTGTAGCCATACACTATAAAAATCCTAGTAGGAAAATGTAGATAACAGTATTTCTGGAAATAAGGTATGGGATTTGCTTTTTCTTGTGAAGTAATTCTCTCCTAGTTCCAATGAAAAGAATTTGCAAGAATGCCTTTAATTCTCTTTCAGTTCTAAAGTTCTAGGGTAGTTTTAAAAAAACTAATTGAAAAAATAAGTGGAGTGTGATCATTTTAATCACTATCCAGAAATACTCCATAACTTCATATGTTCAAACATTGGGTTCCACAAATTTTTACTACACTAGACTAGGTTTACTGAAGAGTAAGTATTTCTCTACTTTTTCTGCATTTATATTTTCCTGTACCTCTGATTAAACACCTACTGTTTTATTTTTGATAAATAGGTGGCCTCTAAGAATCAGACTTCACTATTGGGAGAACCACCAAAAGAAATACGGCTCAGTAAGAATCCATACCTGAACCTGGCAAGTGTGTTGCCCAGTGTGTGCTTATCATGTAAGTAAGAGCTCAGTATTAGTATTTTGGAGTTTTATTAAATACTTTCCATAATCAGTCTTACTCTAATTAAATGGAAGCAAATAATGCTTATTGGCCATGAAAGCCTAAATTATGACCTCATCTTTAAAGAATAACTAAAATTAAGACACTTAAAATGTATTCTATTTAAGGAAACATCTTTTGTAATATCTTTCAATTTATTGAATTATTAAATCATAATAGAAAATCTGGCAAGGGAATTATTGGCAATACTATAATGCTGTACAATACATATAGAATCATTTGTATTCTAAATCTATTTCTAAGATAGAGATTTAAACCTCTACATATCTCATATATCCAGAATATTTGCAAACAATCCCCCCAGAACTGTGAGCTAATGAAAATAAGCAGAAGTTGAGCTCTCATTTACTTTTTTGGAAGACTTTCTCAGGCCTTCAATTAAGGTAAATTATTAAATATAGTTTTAAGAGAAAATCACAAACGTGGTGTGTTCTAGGCACTAGGATATTCATTACAATGTTGGTTGTCAATAGTGTAACTGAAAAGTGCCTTAATATTCCTCAATAGGGGAATGGTTAAATAAAAAAATAGTTTATCATAAAATGGAATACAATACAACTTTTTGGTATAGTTGAGGGAGAGCTACATGTACTAATATGAAATTCTCTCTAAAGCAAATTAAGTAGAAAAAGCCAACATGTGCCTAAAATGATTCCATTTATGTTTGTTTAAAACTGTATTCTTTTTTTTTAAACTATATACTCTTACGTGTACATATTTAATGTGTAAATGCATACAGTAAATCTGGGAAAATAAATTCTAAACTGTTACCTCTGGGGAAAAAAGAATAGAGTTAAAAGAAATGAAATAATATATATGCTCTGTATTTTATAAAGTATCCTCTTGTACCTCGACATTAATTTGTAATTTTTTAAAAGAGACAGAAAAAAAATTTAATATGCTTCTCCTATACCCACTGCATTTTTTACCTGGTCAAAAATTGATGGTTACAACTATTGCATTAATAAGAAGGATTAGTTTACATTTTGTTTGCCTTCTTTTAGAGATCAGACATGTATCTTAAAAATGTTTCCATCAAAATTATTTATCAATTGGGCAAACTTCCACGTTCAGTTGCTTTAAATGAACAAGAAAACATCATATACTGTATATCCTCCCCCTGGGGGATAAGAACTATAGCTATATGCAGGCAAATAAAAATCTGTGTTGTTTGGGTACATGTTGAATTAATGAGTTTTGTACTTTGTTTATAATTTATAACAAAACAACTTTTAGCTAAAAATAGTGAAATTTGACTTTAGCCCCTGCAAGTAAAACCGCTCTGCAGAAGACTGGAATTGCAAGCAATATTCTGGATGCAATCTCTCAGGGAAATGAATCACAACACACATTGGAAAAGTGCATTTCTTATTCTCAACCTTTTGGTGATTATGCACAGGTAAGTGATCCTCAAGTTTTGATGATATCTAGAAAAATTGGTTCAACTGTATATTGAGCTCATTGAATATGAAAATGTGATTCCTGTGATATCATAGGGAAGTAAAATTGCATTCATCTACACAATATTCCTTGCTCATTTGGGATTTTAGGACATATTCAAGCAACATTGATATTTACCTCGATATTTATGCTAGATATTTACCTCTTGGTGTTTACACTAGTGGTCAACAAACTATAAACCAAATCCAGCCCACTGCCTATTTTGTAAGTAAAGTTCTGCTGGATACAGCCATGTCCATTCATTTACATATTGTCTATGTTGCTATTATGCCACAACGGTAGAGTTGAATAGCTGCAACAGAGACCATATGACCCATAAGATTAAATATTTATTAAGTATTTACTGGCTCTTTACAGAAAAACTGCTGACTTGTGGTTTATACCAATGTACACCTGACTAAGGAACTCAAGGAGATGCCCCTGTTCTTCACCACTGCTTCCTGATTACAGACACACGACCATAATGACGGGCGCTGTTAGGCTAACATTTAAACCAATCAATCACTAACATAAAAAATATTATATTCCAAAGGTATATTGTACCATGACATAAATATGTCAATTTTTCTTTGGCCTTTTCTCCTTCAGGTTATTCTCAATGGCTGAAGCTGAGAGTATATATCATGTTAGCAGTATATGATGATATAATCCTGGGAGTCTTGTAATGAACTATGCTTGTTCTGGTTCTGTCTTATTTCTCAGCACATCAGCTGCTTCTCAGCTCTGCCCTATCTGCGGCAGCAGTGCTTCCACTTTGATTTCCTTGGAGCACCTGTGTTTGCCTCATCTCTCTCTAATCACCTTTAGAACAGAAAACCTGTGTGAATTCCCTTGGAACAATGGATGCCTCCTTATGCTTTTATGATAGGGTACTAAAAACACAGGTGAAATAGATTCTGTAAGAATGGTGCAGCTGGATATTAGAATAATACGTAAGTCTCTTATATACCTGTGGAAAGGTGGAGAAATATAGGTTGGAAGATGATGTAATTAGGTACCAACAGACCTATGTCCAAGGAAGAGTAATCATGAATTAATGCAACCCGGAAAGCATTCCCTCATATGTTTCATAAGACTCCATTTTTCTTCCTTTATTAATTCACATTTTAAGAAATCAAGGTGAGGACATTAATTGACATTAAGTGTATGCTAATTATATTTACAGATGACAAAACCCAAGGAAATTATCAGAGATCTGTAAAATTTGTAAATTGATAGTTCTGTAAATTAGAAACAGCCTAAATTTCCAATAATTTTTAATACTAAGTACATAAATTATGCCATATTTATTCCAGAGATACAATGCAAATAGTAAAGATCAAGTAAAACACTATGTAAATGCATGATAAATATTTCATAATCTATTGTTAATTTTAAAAATTTATAAATTATAGTCCTGTATAATTCTAGTTTTTTGTTCCTTTACAAGGAGCAAAATTTACTTTCATAAATGGAAGCACAATAAACTTAAAAAAATTTTTTTAAACATGTATAATTTAACTTTTTATATAGCTTTTTAATTTTTTATCATTTTATTTTATGATAAGCATACTCCTTACTCCCCATCCCCCAGGCCCCCCCCCCGTAACCATCAGTTTGTTATAGTTAGGAGTCTGTTTCTTGATTTGTCTCTCTTTTTCCCTTTGCTCGTTTGTTTTGTTTCTTAAATTCCACATACGGAATGAGTGAGATCATATGGCATTTGTTTTTCTTTGACTTCTGTTGCTTAGCTTAATACAGTCTAGCTCTATCCATGTTGTTGCAAATGGCAAGATTTTGTTCTTTTTTATGGCTGAATAATATTCCATTGCGTGTATATACCACATCTTCTTTATTTATCTATCGATGGACACTTCCATAGTTTGGGCTGCTTTTGTAGTTTGGCTCTTATAAATAATGCTGCAATAGACATAAGGGTGCCTGTATCCCTTTCCTTAGTGCTTTTGTATTTGGGGGGTAAATACCCAGTAGTATAACTCCTGGATTATACAGTAGTTCTATTTTTAACATTTTGAGGCATCTCCATACTGTTTTCCAGATTGGCTGTACCAGTTTGCATTCCCACCAACAGTGCACAGGGCTTCCTTTTTCTTCATATCTTTGCTGATACTTGGTGTTTCTTGTGTTTTTCTATTTTAGCCATTGTGACAGGTGGGAGGTGATATCTCATGTAGTTATAATTTGCATTTCCCTGATGATAAGTGATGTTGAACATCTTTTCACATGTATGTTATCCATTTGTATGTTTTCTTTGGGGAAATATCTTTTCATGTCTTTTGCTCATTTCTAAATGGGTTATTTGGTTTTGTTGTGTGTTGAGTTGTATCAGTTCTTTACGTATTTTGGATACTAACCCTTTATCAGATATGTCATTTGTAAATATCTTCGCCTATTCAGTAGGTTGCCTTTTAGTTTTGTTGATTGCTTCCTTTGCTGTGCAGAAGCTTTTTATTTTGGTGTAGTCCGAGTTATTTATTTTTGCTTTTATTTCTCTTGCCTCAGAAGACATTTAGAACTGTGTTGATGTGGCCAGTGTCAGAGAGATTACTGCCTGTGCTCTCTTAAAGGATTTTTATGGTTTCAGGCCTCACATTTAGATCTTTAATGCATTTTGAGTTTATTTTTGTGTATGATGAAATAAAGTGGTCCAGTTTCATTCTTTTGCCTGTTGCTGTGGTTCTCCCCATCACCATTTGTTGAAGAGACTGTCTTTTCCCATTGTATATATATTCCTCCTCTGTTGAAGATTAGTTGTGGGTTTATTTCCAGGCTTTCTGTTCTATTCTATTGATCTGTGTGTCTGTTTTCATGCCAGTACCATACTACTTTAATCACTACCACTTTGTAATATAACTTGAAATCTAGATCGTGATACCTCCAGTTTTGTTTTTCTTTTTCAAGACTGCTTTGACTATTTGGGGTCCTTTGTGGTTCCTAAAAAATTTAGGATTATTTGCTTTGGTTTTGTGAAAAGTGCTCTTGGTATTTAAGAGGGATTGATTAAACCTGTAGATTGGTTTGGGTAGTATGGACATTTGAACAGTCTTGGCTCTTCCTATCTATGAGCATGGAATGTCTTTCCATTTCTTTGCATTGTCTTGAGTTTCTTTCATCAATATTTTATAGTTTTCAGAATTCAGGTCTTTCTTTGGTTAAATTTATTCCTAGATGTTTAATGTACTTGGTGCAATTGCAAATAGGATTGTTTTCTTTCTTTCTTTCTTTCTTTCTTTCTTTCTTTCTTTCTTTCTTTCTTTCTTTCCTTCTTTCCTTCTTTCCTTCTTTCCTTCTTTCTTTCTTTCTTTCTTTCTTTCTTTCTTTCTTAAGATTTTATTTATTTATTTAACAGACAGAGATCACAAGTAGGCAGAGAGGCAGGCAGAGAGAGAGGAGGAAGCAGGCTCCCTGCCGAGCAGTGAGCCCGATGCAGGGCTCTATCCCAGGACCCTGGGATCATGACCTGAGCCGAAGGCAGAGGCTTTAACCCACTGAGCCACCCAGGCGCTCCAATAAGATTGTTTTCTTATTTTCAGTTTCTGCTGCTTTATTATTAATGTATAGGAATCCAGCAGGTTTCTGTACACTGATTTTATATCCTGCAGCTTTACTAAATTTATCAGTTCTAGTAGCTTTTTGGTGGAATCTTTAATGTTTTCTATATATAGTGTAATGTTATCTGCAAATAGTGAAGGTTTTACTTCTTCCTTACCAATTTAGATAACTTTTATTTCTTTATGTTGTCTTAATGCTGTGGCGAGGACTTGCAGTTCTATGTTGAATAAAACTGATGAGGGTGTACATACTTGTCTTGTTCTTGATCTTAAGGGAAAAGCTCTCAGTTTTTCCCCATTAGGTGTGATATTTGCTGTGGGTTTTTCAAATAAGGCCTTTATTATCTTGACATATGTTCCCTCTAGACCTACTTTGCAGAGAAGTTTTTATTATGAATGGATGTTGTACTTTGTCAAATGCTTTTTCTGCATCTATTGAAATACCGTATGGTTTTTATCCTTTCTTTTACTGATGTGACATATCACCATGATTATGAATATTGAACCACCCTTTCATCTGGGAATAAATTCCACTTGATTGTGGTACATGATTTTTTAAATATATTTTATTGGATTCAGTTTTCTAACATTTTGTTGAGGATTTTTGCATCTATAGTCATGAGAGATACTGGCCTGTAATTCTCTCTCTCTCAATTTTTTTTTTTTTTTTTTTTTGTGGTATCTTTATGTCATTTTGGTATCAGGGTGATATTGGCCTCATAAAAAGGATCTAGAAGCTTTCCTTCCTCTTCTATTTTTTGGACTAGTTTGGGAAGAATCAATATTAACTCTTTTTTAAATGTTTAGTAGAAAAAAATAAAAAATAAAATAAAAAAATTAAAATGTTTAGTAGAGTTTGCCTGTAAAGCCGTCTGGTCCTGGACTTTTATTTTTTGGGAGTTTTTTGGTTACTGATTCAATCTCCTTACCAGTACCTGGTCTGTTCAGATTTTCTATTTTTCCCTAACCTAGTTTTGGTAGAATATATGTTTCTAGGAATTTATCCATTTTTCCTAAGTTGCCCAATTTGTTGACATATAGGCTTTCATAATATTCTTTTAGAATTGTTTGTATTTCTATGGTGTTGGTTGTTATTTCTTCTCTTTAATTAGTAATTCTGTTTATTTGGTTCTCTCGCTCGCTCTCATGGGTCTTGCTAAGGGTTTATCAATTTTTTATGGTTTTTTTAAATTTAATTTTTAAAACATTTTTTATAAACATATAAAGGATTTATCAATTTTATTGATCTTCTGAAAGCTCCTGACTTCATTGAGCTATTTTTTAAAATTTTATTTTATTTTTTTAGTTTCTGTATCATTTATTTCTGCTCTAATCTTTACTCCTGCCTTTTGCTGGGATTTGGGATTGTTCTTCTTTTTCTAGCTTC